TTTTTTTGGTTTTTCTCCGGTACCGGGAACCGAACTCACGACCTTGCGCTTGCCAGGCAGGCGCTTTTGCCGCTGAGCTAAACTCCCAGCCCCTTCAATGTATTTTATTTAAGAGCAGAATATATTTATTGAGGGAAAGAAAGCTTCTGTCCAAGAGAGGGATAAAAGGGGTGCCAAGTGGGTTGCCAAGGACCCTGCCTTTCCTAGGGATTTTATAGAGCAAAATCATGAGGTGAGATGAGTCCAAGGTGGGGGAAAAATGGGAAACTGCAAAATGGGCATGAGGTGGGACAAAACTATAGTCAGCCAATAAGGTTATAAGTATAATTGTTCAGGTAGAATTGATTAAATTGGGATCAAATGGGGAAGTGAGTCACTAGCAAGCACGCATGAATACGGAACAGGGGCTTTTCCTGTAGGGGGCTGGGTTAGTGACTCTTCCTGGCTTTCTGAAGGTGTTTGCTACTTATCTCAAATACCAATCCCTGTGTCCAGTCCTAGAGAGGATATGGATGCATTTGTTTAATCTTTTGTCTTGAGATCTGGCCCACAGTGGAAGTGCCTCCCTCTCCATTTACAAGGAATCCCATCTTTTGTACTGGCTCCTTCAAGGGCCTGGCCCTGTCTGATTGCCTATAATATTTCTATCTAACTCAGGTACCTACAACATTCCCCCTTCTGAAGAAATAACCCAAGCTGCCATGAGGGAATAATGGGGGATGACCATTCTAGCTTCTTCAGCCTGAAAGGGGTCAGAGTAATTGATCTGCAGTTGGAGATACTCTCCAGAGTTTCTATCTAAAGGCCCTCAATAGACACCAGACATTTTTATCTTGGGTAGGAATGTAGCTTTAAGTCTACAGGAGACAAAACCAAAGAAACAATTAAGAATGTATGGGCAAGCTGGGCATGGTGCCACATGCCTGTTATCTCAGCACTCAGGAGGCTGAGGCAGGAGGATCACTGTGAGTTCAAGGCCAGCCTTGGCTACAAAGTGAGCTCAAGGCCAGCCTGAACTGCATAGTGAGACCCTGTCTCAAAACGACAAAAGAAAATGTATGTATGGGCCAAGTAATAAGATCAGCAGGATTTATGAATACAGTCACAAAGATTTTCACCAAGAGAGCCAGTAATGGCTTTCCATAAAGAGAATAAGGATAAGGTCCAGGAAATTTCTAAGTCTGACATGTCATTGATTGATCATCT